AAAAAAACAGTGCCATTTTAGCCAGGGTGAGATGGTATCTCATTGCAGTTTTGATTTACATCTCTCTAATGACTAATGATTGTGAGCATCTTTTCTTATGTTTGTTGGCTGCTCAGATGTCCTCTTTGGTGAAGGTTCTGTTCATGTCCTTTGCCCACTTAATTATTGGGTTGTTTCTGTTTTTGTTGTTGAGTTGTTGAAGTTTTGATAAATTTTAGATATTAGACCCTTATTGGATACTGTGTTTTTATGCAAATAACACGTGTTATATGGTTGTTTTGCCAACCATGCCTTCCCCACAGGAAGTATTTTCATAAATGTGCTATGCTAATATTTTTACATGTTGCTGTAAAAAAAGTTAGCATAGTACATTTACAAAAATACCTCGTAGGGGGAAGATGCAGTTGGCAAAAAAAATGTGTAATGCACATGTTATTTGCATAAAATTATGGTATGTTGTTTCCAAAGATTTTTCCTCAGTTTGTAGGTTATCTTTTTACTCTTTTGGTAGTCTTTTGATGAGCATAGTTTTTAATTTTTATGAAGTCCCATTTATCTTTTTTGTCTTTATTCATGCATTTGTTGTTACGTTTGTTACTCCATTTTTACAAAAGATTAGGTCCCATACTTTTCTCCTTGTGTTTTCTTCTAGGAGTTTTATAGTTTTAGGTGTAAGATTTAGGTCTTTAATCTATTTTGAGTTAGTTTTTGTGTATGGTGTGAGGTATGGGTCCTATTTCATTTTTATGCAAATGGATGTTAAGTTTTTCCAGCACCGTTTATCAAAGAGACTGTTTCTGCCCCATTGAATGGACTTTGACCCCTTGTCGAAAATCAGTTGTCCGTAGATGACTGGATTTATTTCTGGGTTCTCAATTCTTTTCCACTGGTCTGTGTATCTATCGTTGAACCAATACTTGATTCCAGCTCAAAGCAACCTATAGGACAGAGTAGAACTGCCCCATAGGGTTTCCAAGGAGCGGCTCTTGGATTCATCTGCCAACCTTTTGGTTAATAGCCAAGTTCTTAACCACTGCGCCACTAGGATTCCTTGATTACAATGGCTGTATAGTATGTTTTGATATCAGAGAGTGTGAGGCCTCCTACTTTGTTCTTCTTCCATATTGCTTTAGCTATTTGAGGTCTCTTTCCTTACCATATAAAGTTGGTCATTAGTTTTTCCATTTCAGTAAAGAATGTTGTTGGGATTTGTATCCGGATTGTATTGTATCTGCAGATCCCTTTAGGTAGAATGACATTTCACTGTTAAGTCTTCTAATCCATGAACCTGGAATGCCCTTGCATAAGTAGGTCTCTTTTAATCTCTTGTTTCCATTGTATATGTCTTTTATGATCCTGGTTAGGTTAATTCTAGGGTTTTTGGTTGTTTTTTTTTAATCACTTTGGGGGTATAGTATTGTTTTCTTAATTTCTTTTTCAGAGTAGTCTCTGTTAGTATAAAAGAATCCAGCTGATTTTTGTGTGTCGATCTTGTACCCTGCAAT